CATACGGTCAGGGTATTATTAATTAATCCTCCCGTGATCTTGATATAGTGATCGGGGGATTAGTTGAATTATTACACGTGACTTATTGAAATCTCAACGTAATGTAGAATGTGGAATCGTTGAATAATTATTCGAAAATTTCGAATATCGAAATAAACTTCATTCATTGAGTTTTAAACTCAGTCAATCATTGATAGTGATAAGATTTGATTGATTAATAAATAACAATTTTATAAATTTTATTAATAAATTTTTTCAAAATGACATTAGAAAACTCAATTGCAAAAGATTACATGTGTTATCGACTGATGAGCAAAGAAACTTTACGTGCTATGTATGCAGAGTTTAAGAAGTGGCACTATTTATTTAAACAAATTACTTCATCGACATCCAATTTAGTTCTGTAACTAGTCGAAATGACAAGCAAACTTACCAGCTCACAAAACCAAGATAATAACGAAGTTAAAAATTATCTTACTCTTCCTGAGCTTGATTTCGAGAGAGATTCCATGGTGTGCTGGTCTTTAAAAAAAAAACGGCTAGTTCCGATTTTAAGTGAAATGGCCGAAAATTTCTTGCAATTCCTGCAATAAGCACAACAAGTACAACAAGCATAACAAGCACACCAAGTGAGTGCTTGTTTTCAGATGTAGGAAATGTTATGAGTGCGAAAACAACGTTATTGCCAAAGTTATTTGGCAGAATGGTATTTCTAAAGCGTAATATGAAAACAAATGAATTTACTGTCCTTGATGTCTAGGATTAATGCATAATATAAATCGCAATTATAAATCATGTATTAAATAATGTAGCGGTAATAGTACTTTATAATGCGCAATAATTAAGTAATGTTGCGTTAATGGTTACAATTGATAAATTTCATGTTATACTAAATTCTTCTGTGTTTTTTAATGCTCAATGAACATTCGAACATCGGTCAAAATTTTTTACCGATGCTCGAAAATCTAGAGTTTGAAACCAATCAATTCTCGAAACTCATCGATTCCAATCTCTAACGTAATGAACGTTCTGATTGACATGTTTATGGAATTTCAAACAGTCCTTCCAA